GTACTTTTGAGTTTTGACTTTCGAGTTACGGTTTTGACCTCAGTCCTCATAACATGACGACACATTATTTAAAGGAAGGTGATCTTATTTTACTTGGTCCTATTATTACGTCACCTCCTAATTCAATATACAGACACACACTCCTTATAGAGAGAAGGTACATACTGTAATAATAGAGGGTACATTCTATTTCTACACTAGAATACTGGGATGTTCGCTACAAATATGTCTGATTTAATCGCTACACGTTACAAGTGATCTGTTTCCTTCTTCAGGTGATCTCACTGCAGAGTACAGAGTACTACACACTACATACTACACACTAGTCACTACACACTACATATAATAGTGTGTATAAGTTACACTGAGAGTAGCTTCATGAGGAGTTCATAATGCAGTATATAGGACAGTGGCGTAACCATGGTAACGAGTGTATAGGACAGTGGCGTAACCATGGTAACGAGCGTACAGGGCAGTGGCGTAACCATGGTAACGCTCCGTTTTGGCGCCCATTGCACCCCCTTTTGGTGCCCTTTCCTCCTATACCATGCCAGTGGGCCTCACTGCTATAGGATCTGATAGTGAACACACCCTATTAGAGATGTGAAATAACAGATAACACTGACTGAGAGATAACTGTCAGTACACTGTTTATTCTAACTAGTACTGACAGTAACAGATTAGTTATATAACAGGGTCCTAGCTATAAGGATCCTGTTAGGCGACTCTAACTAGTACTGACAGGGTACTCTTAGTAGTGCAGAGTGAGACTAATCAGTATTATAATATAGGGAGTGTAATGGTTACTATGGTTACTTACAATAATAAGGGCGTATAATCAGTAGGTCTGACACGTTACCTGACAGATTACAAGATCTCTTCTACACTCTACAGTGTAGAGTACACATGTCACACACTGGAGATATCTGATAATATCTTGGTTAACAGCCGACCTTATCATATGTGTAGTACACATGTACACATGTACACAACCTTATCATGTGTACATTGTGTACATCCCTCACTGAGATGATCTGTTATATCCTGATAGTATCATCCCTGGTGTGTAACTAACTTGTGTCAGACAGATGAGTTAACACTACACTCAGCAGTAACAGACAGATGAGTTGTCGGGGTCGAAAGCGTACAGCCCAGGGAGGGACACGGGTCACCTGGCCCGCTGGAAGTTGAAGAGAGGGACACACCTGGCCCGCTCAGAGTTGATCCTCAAACATTGGAAGGTTTGAAAATCTTGAAACTTAGATATTCCGACAAAATGAAGTTAAATATTATGCTCGATTTATAACTTTGAATATTATTATTATCTGTTGAGTGTTGAGATCTCCAGTGCAGTGTGCAACAAACAGGCTACCCTTAAAGGGTTCAACTCACTTCAATACATCTCTAACCTAACCCCCCCCCCCCCCCCCCCTTAACCTACCTCCTCCCCCCCCCCCCCCCAGTTACGTGACAGCGGTACTGCAACTAACACACGTGACACATGTTATCAACCTCTGTTACTATTACAGAGTTAGTAAGCACATGTTCTCTACCTCAGTTACTATTACAGAGTTAGTATGCACATGTTCTCTACCTCAGTTACTATTACAGAGTTAGTATGCACATGTTCTCTACCTCAGTTACTATTACAGAGTTAGTAAGCACATGTTCTCTACCTCAGTTACTATTACAGAGTTAGTAAGCACATGTTATCAACCTCAGTTACTATTACAGAGTTAGTAAGCACATGTTACCAACCTCAGTTACTATTACAGAGTTAGTAAGCACATGTTATCAACCTCAGTTACTATTACAGAGTTAGTAAGCACATGTTACCAACCTCAGTTACTATTACAGAGTTAGTAAGCACATGTTATCAACCTCAGTTACTATTACAGAGTTAGTAAGCACATGTTCCCAACCTCAGTTACTATTACAGAGTTAGTAAGCACATGTTATCAACCTCAGTTACTATTACAGAGTTAGTAAGCACATGTTCTCAGCCTCAGTTACTATTACAGAGTTAGTAAGCACATGTTCTCAGCCTCAGTTACTATTACAGAGTTAGTAAGCACATGTTATCAACCTCAGTTACTATTACAGAGTTAGTAAGCACATGTTCTCAGCCTCAGTTACTATTACAGAGTTAGTAAGCACATGTTCTCAGCCTCAGTTACTATTACAGAGTTAGTAAGCACATGTTCTCTACCTCAGTTACTATTACAGAGTTAGTATGCAGTATGTAACTACCAGACCTGCCGTCCTCTTCATGTTTATTACAACAAGAGAGTGGGTTTTACATAATATTCAGTATAATTAGTGCACACTGGAAGTGAACAAGAACCTCTTCCCTGTAAACCACCCTGCTTAATATAGCCCTGATAGAGCAGACTATATACCTTAATACTGAACCAATACCCCGCGCTAGGGTTATATATTAGGTATAGAGCAGCTCTATACCTAATATACTTAATACTGTACCCCGCGCTAGGGTTAGGGGGTGTTTATACTCTATACTCTACTTTATAGTGTTTCTCTCAGACTAAATCAGGGGAAACCTTACTTCCCCTTTTGTTCACGTCCTTACAATCCCTCTAGAGAATTAAGTGTTTCAACAGTCAACCCATTGTCTCGTCAATGGCTGGTTCCAATGTGACTGTGTCTTTACGGGGGAGGGGGGGGGAGGGGGGAGGCCGGGGTGGGGGGTGTACACTGTACCACTGGGAGACTTTGGGACCGGAAACTGATCCGGCCCCCAAAGAGGGGTCAGATCACGTCACCAATTAGTGACGTATAATTAGTGATGTGATCCATGGATTGAATTTAATTGACATAGAAATGGGCTAGATCTGGGGTAGAGTTCACATGTCAATTCTGTAAATCATAGCTGTACATTAAGAAGTAAACATGATCTGACTGCTCGAGTCGTAGATCACATAAGGGACGGGAGCTCTTGCTAAAGGGGGGGGGGGTTCTCGTATCAAGGATGTGAGACGTACGTGTCAAAGGCATGCAAGGGGAGTGAGCCGATCTAGTGTTCTAGGTATAAATATTGGGCGATAGAAGGTAGTAGTATCGCATTCTATCAACAGTTATGCCTACCTTCTCCAAGTAAACCAGACGCTACCAGGCTACCTAATATGGAATCCCTTCTGCCTCCGGATCTGCCCAACATACCGAGTCGAAGACTTCTCTTGAATTCGTTCGTCCTCCCAGCTGAGAGAGCCGCAAGGCTGGTTGCTTTTTTAGCTTTTGTCCCAGTAGCTGATGTTGAGGAGGCTTTCTTTGAAATAACTTTCTACATCCAATCTAACTATCCTGAGTTGATGGTTGTAGTGAATTATTTCGAGAAAACCTACTTAGGGTCAGCCATTGTAGACAGTGAGGTGAGGGTTCCTCCCACATATCCTTTAGAGTTCTGGAATCATTTCGCCAGTATTCTTCAGGATCCGGAGTTCCCTCGGACCTCTAACATGGTCGAGGGGTTTCACAGAGGTTTCAAAACCCGAGTGAATCGCCCAAAGCCCTCTGTTCAAGAATATTTTCGTGCTATCAAGGAGCAACAGGTTGTTACAGATTATCATCTGGATCGGCTTGCTGTTGGAAAGACTCCTTCCAAAAAGAAGAGGATTTCCAGCAGTATTCTGTACGACCTTTGTTCCTTCTACACGACATACCCAACAAATATTGAGTACTTGTTCGCTGTTGCGAAATACTTTGGTAATAATATTGAGTAATTTGTTGTATTCTGAAGTATTATATTATTAATCGATTTAACATTTTATAGCCAGCCAATACATTGTCTCAATTTAAAACAATATGTTCATTTCTTAATTTGTAGCTTCTATGTACAGAGTTGTCATATGAACTCTACCCCAGATCTAGCCCATTTCTAGGTCAATTATATTCAATCCATGGATCACATCACTAATTATGCGCCACAAGCTTCAAGCTTGCATGTTAATTACTTGATGACGTATATGGTGCAGTGGATCATATCACTCCGGCCCCAAAGTCTGGCAGCCCACTGTACCCCCGTCTTTACTAAGGGGGATCTGTTTTACAAGCTCCCCCTTCTGGCCTTCTTAGGCTAGTTATATTATATATATGTGCAGAGTGCTGCAAGTAACACGTGTTAGTATTACTACGTACTCCCTATCTTCCTGTGCAGTACGAATAACACGTACTTCCTGTACAGTATGAGTAATACAACATAACTACTTACAAAGTAACAAAGTGACACAATACAGCCCTTATCTTACACATATTGTCTACACTAATTACTAAATTATATAGACAATACTTTCATTAAGCGCAGATAGGTAGCCTGCAGTGCACTATTGTCCAATATCCGCGGTAACCCATAAAGTATCCATAGTAACCTATACAGTATCCATAGTAACCCATACAGTATCTCCAAATAAAGGGCTTACATTATCTTAGGTTGCAGCACACATATAGTTGAAAATAATATTTCAAAACAATTTGTATTATATTGTAGTTAAACTAACTGAGTAGGTTAAGTAAGGGTGTAGTGAAGGTGCTATCTATCTGACACCCTGTTACTAAAGTAGAGGCTATTAAATAAAAGCCGCCCGTCTCTAACAATTGTTATTATAAAAGTGGAGTGTTGTTAACTTAACAGGTGCTATACCTATAACAGGTTAAGTGTAACTCAGTCAGATTATTATATCATCACATTTTAGAGGAGGAATAGGTATGATCTAACACGTGACCATGGTAACACGTGACCATGGTAACACGTGACCATGGTAACTGATTGAGCAACAAGTGGTGACGTGATGCTACTCAAAACACACGGAAACATGACACGGCTAACTACTACTGTAGTGTTACAGCTCTATAATTATACCGACAGATTCCTCCCCGAACCAAGTTACATTACAAATGTGGTTTCTAGTAAGCAACAAGACAACACAATACACATGCTCGTTAAATAGGAAACTAAAATGCTGCTATTGAAATAAAGGGGCTCTAACCAGAGAAGTTAGCAAGCATTGGGGGCGCTGAGGGGCTGACATCGAACTGGTCGTAGGGAGGCGGCTCCATCATCTGGCTAGCTCTCTGAGGGATACAGTGTTACATTACGTATTACTTATCACGTAACACTAGGGATACAGTGTTACATTACGTATTACTTATCACGTAACACTAGGGATACAGTGTTACATTACGTATTACTTATCACGTAACACTAGGGATACAGTGTTACATTACGTATTACTTATCACGTAACATTAGGGATACAGTGTTACATTACGTATTACTTATCACTAACACTAGGGATACAGTGTTACATTACGTATTACTTATCACTAACACTAGGGATACAGTGTTACATTACGTATTACTTATCACATAACACTAGGGATACAGTGTTACATTACGTATTACTTATCTCAACACTAGGGATACAGTGTTACATTACGTATTACTTATCACGTAACACTAGGGATACAGTGTTACATTACGTATTACTTATCACGTAACACTAGGGATACAGTGTTACATTACGTATTACTTATCACGTAACACTAGGGATACAGTGTTACATTACGTATTACTTATCACGTAACACTAGGGATACAGTGTTACATTACGTATTACTTATCACGTAACACTAGGGATACAGTGTTACATTACGTATTACTTATCACGTAACACTAGGGATACAGTGTTACATTACGTATTACTTATCACATAACACTAGGGATACAGTGTTACATTACGTATTACTTATCACGTAACACTAGGGATACAGTGTTACATTACGTATTACTTATCACGTAACACTAGGGATACAGTGTTACATTACGTATTACTTATCACGTAACATTAGGGATACAGTGTTACATTACGTATTACTTATCACGTAACACTAGGGATACAGTGTTACATTACGTATTACTTATCACGTAACACTAGGGATACAGTGTTACATTACGTATTACTTATCACGTAACACTAGGGATACAGTGTTACATTACGTATAACTTATCACGTAACACTAGGGATACAGTGTTACATTACGTATTACTTATCACATAACACTAGGGATACAGTGTTACATTACGTATTACTTATCACGTAACACTAGGGATACAGTGTTACATTACGTATTACTTATCACGTAACACTAGGGATACAGTGTTACATTACGTATTACTTATCACGTAACACTAGGGATACAGTGTTACATTACGTATTACTTATCACGTAACACTAGGGATACAGTGTTACATTACGTATTACTTATCACATAACATCAGGGATACAGTGTTACATTACGTATTACTTATCACATAACACTAGGGATACAGTGTTACATTACGTATTACTTATCACGTAACACTAGGGATACAGTGTTACATTACGTATTACTTATCACGTAACACTAGGGATACAGTGTTACATTACGTATTACTTATCACGTAACATCAGGGATACAGTGTTACATTACGTATTACTTATCACATAACACTAGGGATACAGTGTTACATTACGTATTACTTATCACGTAACACTAGGGATACAGTGTTACATTACGTATTACTTATCACGTAACACTAGGGATACAGTGTTACATTACGTATTACTTATCACGTAACATCAGGGATACAGTGTTACATTACGTATTACTTATCACATAACACTAGGGATACAGTGTTACATTACGTATTACTTATCACATAACATCAGGGATACAGTGTTACATTACGTATTACTTATCACGTAACACTAGGGATACAGTGTTACATTACATATTACTTATCACGTAACATCAGGGATACAGTGTTACATTACGTATTACTTATCACGTAACATCAGGGATACAGTGTTACATTACGTATTACTTATCACATAACACTAGGGATACAGTGTTACATTACGTATTACTTATCACGTAACACTAGGGATACAGTGTTACATTACGTATTACTTATCACATAACATCAGGGATACAGTGTTACATTACGTATTACTTATCACATAACACTAGGGATACAGTGTTACATTACGTATTACTTATCACATAACACTAGGGATACAGTGTTACATTACGTATTACTTATCACGTAACACTAGGGATACAGTGTTACATTACGTATTACTTATCACGTAACACTAGGGATACAGTGTTACATTACGTATTACTTATCACGTAACATCAGGGATACAGTGTTACATTACGTATTACTTATCACATAACATCAGGGATACAGTGTTACATTACGTATTACTTATCACATAACACTAGGGATACAGTGTTACATTACGTATTACTTATCACGTAACACTAGGGATACAGTGTTACATTACGTATTACTTATCACGTAACACTAGGGATACAGTGTTACATTACGTATTACTTATCACGTAACACTAGGGATACAGTGTTACATTACGTATTACTTATCACGTAACACTAGGGATACAGTGTTACATTACGTATTACTTATCACATAACACTAGGGATACAGTGTTACATTACGTATTACTTATCACGTAACACTAGGGATACAGTGTTACATTACGTATTACTTATCACGTAACATCAGGGATACAGTGTTACATTACGTATTACTTATCACGTAACACTAGGGATACAGTGTTACATTACGTATTACTTATCACGTAACACTAGGGATACAGTGTTACATTACGTATTACTTATCACATAACATCAGGGATACAGTGTTACATTACGTATTACTTATCACGTAACACTAGGGATACAGTGTTACATTACGTATTACTTATCACATAACATCAGGGATACAGTGTTACATTACGTATTACTTATCACGTAACACTAGGGATACAGTGTTACATTACGTATTACTTATCACGTAACACTAGGGATACAGTGTTACATTACGTATTACTTATCACATAACACTAGGGATACAGTGTTACATTACGTATTACTTATCACGTAACACTAGGGATACAGTGTTACATTACGTATTACTTATCACATAACATCAGGGATACAGTGTTACATTACGTATTACTTATCACGTAACACTAGGGATACAGTGTTACATTACGTATTACTTATCACGTAACACTAGGGATACAGTGTTACATTACGTATTACTTATCACGTAACATCAGGGATACAGTGTTACATTACGTATTACTTATCACATAACATTAGGGATACAGTGTTATATTACGTATTACTTATCACGTAACACTAGGGATACAGGGTTACATTACGTATTACTTATCACGTAACACTAGGGATACAGTGTTACATTACGTATTACTTATCACGTAACACTAGGGATACAGTGTTACATTACGTATTACTTATCACGTAACACTAGGGATACAGTGTTACATTACGTATTACTTATCACGTAACATCAGGGATACAGTGTTACATTACGTATTACTTATCACATAACACTAGGGATACAGTGTTACATTACGTATTACTTATCACGTAACATTAGGGATACAGTGTTACATTACGTATTACTTATCACGTAACACTAGGGATACAGTGTTACATTACGTATTACTTATCACGTAACACTAGGGATACAGTGTTACATTACGTATTACTTATCACGTAACATCAGGGATACAGTGTTACATTACGTATTACTTATCACATAACACTAGGGATACAGTGTTACATTACGTATTACTTATCACGTAACATTAGGGATACAGTGTTACATTACGTATTACTTATCACGTAACATCAGGGATACAGTGTTACATTACGTATTACTTATCACATAACACTAGGGATACAGTGTTACATTACGTATTACTTATCACGTAACATCAGGGATACAGTGTTACATTACGTATTACTTATCACATAACACTAGGGATACAGTGTTACATTACGTATTACTTATCACATAACACTAGGGATACAGTGTTACATTACGTATTACTTATCACATAACACTAGGGATACAGTGTTACATTACGTATTACTTATCACATAACATCAGGGATACAGTGTTACATTACGTATTACTTATCACATAACACTAGGGATACAGTGTTACATTACGTATTACTTATCACATAACACTAGGGATACAGTGTTACATTACGTATTACTTATCACATAACACTAGGGATACAGTGTTACATTACGTATTACTTATCACATAACACTAGGGATACAGTGTTACATTACGTATTACTTATCACATAACACTAGGGATACAGTGTTACATTACGTATTACTTATCACATAACATCAGGGATACAGTGTTACATTACGTATTACTTATCACATAACACTAGGGATACAGTGTTACATTACGTATTACTTATCACATATAACATCAGGGATACAGTGTTACATTACGTATTACTTATCACATAACACTAGGGATACAGTGTTACATTACGTATTACTTATCACATAACATCAGGGATACAGTGTTACATTACGTATTACTTATCACATATAACATCAGGGATACAGTGTTACATTACGTATTACTTATCACATAACACTAGGGATACAGTGTTACATTACGTATTACTTATCACATAACACTAGGGATACAGTGTTACATTACGTATTACTTATCACGTAACACTAGGGATACAGTGTTACATTACGTATTACTTATCACATAACACTAGGGATACAGTGTTACATTACGTATTACTTATCACATAACATTAGGGATACAGTGTTACATTACGTATTACTTATCACATAACATCAGGGATACAGTGTTACATTACGTATTACTTATCACGTAACATCAGGGATACAGTGTTACATTACGTATTACTTATCACGTAACACTAGGGATACAGTGTTACATTACGTATTACTTATCACATAACACTAGGGATACAGTGTTACATTACGTATTACTTATCACGTAACATCAGGGATACAGTGTTACATTACGTATTACTTATCACGTAACACTAGGGATACAGTGTTACATTACGTATTACTTATCACGTAACATCAGGGATACAGTGTTACATTACGTATTACTTATCACGTAACACTAGGGATACAGTGTTACATTACGTATTACTTATCACATAACATCAGGGATACA